CTTTTTACCTGGATTACTGAGATGCATCAGGACATAATCATCGGACACAGATGTCCACCCAATGGTGACTTTTTTAGAGTTCAATCAAAACATATTCACWKTTCATAAAGATATTTTGCTAACAGAGCMGTGCTTATAGATAAATATTACATTCTGGCCCATCTTTTCTGACAGAAATGATATTGTTGTGTGTTTTGTTAAAACAAAGAGCAAACGGTGGTCTGAGCCTCCTGCTTCTCCTTGTCTAATGAGAGGAAATGGTTTGTGGTGAGTGGAGCCGGCAGCCCTCCTGTGGGGGTTTAATTCAATCACAGCTCGGGTCAAAAATGAATTAAAACTCTCATTAAACCCCCCCTCACCCCCGTGTTCCAGAGTCTGAGCTTCATGGGGACAGATTTGTGTGTCAGCTCTCTGTCTGTGAGTCAGCCATCACTCACCAGCTCCATCTTTTTTTTTTGTTATTTTAATTTACTCATCACCCACACAGTGCACACAGTGAACCCACTTCAAACAAACAAACAGCGAGTCATAAACCCAGACTGGCCTTCATATTTCACAAACACAACGCACAAAACCGCTGACCTTTTCCACACAACACTAACTCACCGCTGTGGACCGCGGCCATTTATTATACGGAGCAAAGCAGCATGAAGTGTGTTTCTGTGTGTAACCCCCACAGGAAAACATCTCCGTCTCCCTGAGCAGCACGTTCTTTCATCACTGCGGCCACATGAACACTTTGTTACTTCTGTTGTCAGGACACAATGAACTCAATTATTTTGTTTTTATAGATTCTGCTGCAGTGAAATGTTTTCCCAGSAAGATGATGTAAACACAATTTGTAAAGCTTAAAGTAAATACAGTCATTTTTTCTCCCTGACACTTGGAAACCTGTAAAACCGTGTAAGCATGAGATATGAGCGCCCCCTATTGACTGAAAACAGAAGGACTTCTGGAACACACGAAAGAGGCGGAGTCTGTTGTGGGCGGGGCCAAATAGCTAAAACGAGAAGGGGCTGAGGGAAACACCGCCACCTGGTGGATGACCTCAAGAAACAACTAAAAAAGAAAAATAGTAGTAGTTCTTAATCATTTCATTTTTAACAGATTAACAAAGTACAAAAACATGCAATCCAAATAAAATCAAATGAAATGAAAGGCAGCAGAAGAAGAATAAATCTTATAATATCTGCCCCGTTTTTATACCCAAAATATGTTCAAGAGAAAAGAAAAAATACAACAAAAATCAAAACAACTTAAAACATTTAAAAATGAAATAAAAATAAAAATACATCAATTCAAAAAACAATTATCATGAATACACTTATAATTCT